ATTTATTTAATATATAGGCTATTGTTAATAAAAATCAAGCAGATTAGTATTTTTAAAAAAAATTAATGTATTAATTTTACTGTATAAATTTTATAATTTAATAGTCAAAAGAAAGCTTAAGATCCAAGCTTTCTTTTGAATATTAAATCATAAGAATAGCTTCAAAATTTATTAAGATATCTAATTTTTAAATTTATTTATATAAGCAGATTTTTTTAATTTGGTGATTATTAAAAATAAATGATAATATTTTATAAAATTTAGTCTAATCATTTATATAATATTGCATTGGTAAAATAAGATTAATATTGCATTAGCATTAGTAAAATGAAATTGATATTATATGAAATTGAAATATACAATTATATCAAATTAGTCAATTGCTTGTCTTGGCTATAATCTGCTTATAAATCACTTATGAAACTATTTATAAAACTACATAATAATTATAAATCATCACTGTATTTAATTCCATAATTTGTCAATTGTTTTTCTTAGCTATAAATTGCTTATAAAACTAATGAAATCGTGTACTTTTAGTTTATTTTTAGATTTATAATTCAACATAATAAAAATAATATTTAAACAATCCTACTTATCTTCTACCATAAATCATTGACCAATCATCTAATAGAATCAAACATATGTCTAGTCTTATTGAATTTTGTATAATGATAGATTTTTTGATCAAAAATTATGATGCAGTTTTTATATTAAAAGATTAATAAAGTTCTTTTGGATATTTAACATTTAATAATAAATTTTTTTCGATTTTAATATTTTTCACTTTTTACTGTATTTTTAACAACTCTATGTTTTCAGATTTTACATATTATAGTAAAATTTTCAATTAAAAAATAAATTCAAAACCAGTGCATATATATATAATTCATATGTATATGCACCAGTTTTGAAATTTTTTTTAATTGAATATTTTACTATAGTATATAAAATCTGAAAACATAGAGTTAAAGATGCAATAAAGAGTGAAAAACATTAAAATCTAAAAAAAATTATTATTAAACATTAAATATTCAAAAGAACTTTATTAATTTTTTAATATAACAACTATGTCATAATTTCTTGATCAAAAAATCTATTATTATACAAAATTCAATGAGACTAATATATGTTTGATTCTATTGAATGATCAGCCACTCCAATAAATCGCCAAAATATCATAAACTCAGGTGCGAATCACAGAATCTGTATTAATTCTATTGAATGATCGGCTATTACAATAAATCATCATATACAAAATACTATATAGTAAACCCAGATGCGAATCACAGGATCTGTATTAATTAAACCTAAGTTTTTTCGGATATTTAGACTACCTATTAAAATGCAAAATGTGCATACTTCTCAAAGTTTTTCCTTTAACATCATGAACTCTTGGCTGCATGCTAGGCCCAAGATCTATTATAGTTTTAAAATTAGTGGAATGTAAGAGACCTGGACCTTGTATATAGCAATTTACAGTACTTATTTATTATTTTGAAACTCTCAATACAATAGAAAACAATAAAATATTTTTTATTTAAAAAGAATTTGCACTAATATGTTTCGTATTCTAAACATAATATTACAATAAACATCCAAAATATAAGTACATAGTTATTTAATATTTTAACGATCTAAAATCATATATAATCTCTTTTTTGTCTCTATATTATTAAAATATGTAAATAACTCCAGTGCCTTTTCTGAAATAGTTAATAATCCCATATTTTCATTAAGTTTTAAAAAATTTTCAATTTCTTAATAATAAAGAATAGCCGATGAAGGCAAATATGAAATAATAGAATAACCTGAACTAGAAAAACATAAAAAAATATTACGCTGAAGAGAAAAAAATATTTTGGCTAAAATATAAGATAAATCATCAATCGAATGATGTTTGAAAATAAATGAATGATAGTTGCTATTTTTATAATAAAGAGCAAGTATATATGCGATACAAATTTTTTTTCATAATATGCAATCGCAAATTTTTCTTGTTTTATCAAATGTGTTTCATTAATATTCACAATAGTAATGTTTGGAATATCTAATAGAATAAAATATTAAAATAATTAAATAATTTAAATAAAAGATAAATATAATGGGGTTTCAGAATTAACTTATTTTGAAAATAAGTAAAAATTTAAGATTTATTTTCTGTTTTAAATTCTGAATCAGAAAATTAAATAGACATAGCTAGTAATAAAATTAGCTTCTTTTGATAAATATCTACTAGTAAGCGATGATAATAAGTATATATTTTAAAAAAATCAGATTTATACATCACTTATTTTGAAATAAATATATCATCTATTTTATTTAAATTGGATGTTGAATCATTAATTCTGAAACCCTCAATATTATTAATTTACTTACTAAGTAATTGCTGATTATTAAAATCTGATAAATGATCTAGCCGTAATCTTAATTTTCATCGATTTTGATATGGAATATTTGAATGTGAAGTTTCATTAGATGAGAGATATGATACCAAACTTTGAGTATAATTTGCATTTAATTTTTCAAATTGATTTTGATTTTTATTTGTTCAATGTTCTATTGGCTGACTTGTATAAGCTTCATGCTATTGTCACAATTTTATTAATGCTATTACAGTTACTTTCTCACGATTAATATCATTTATTTTAATAAATAATTCATTATCCAAGATATCAGATGTAATTGGTGCTGATGAATTTAATACTGGTTGTAAAATAAATGAAAGATTTGATTGTCCTTCTTTATAATCTAAATAAGAACCATCAGGTAACTCCCAATTGTCCTTATTAATTTCAGTTGCAGCTATCGAAATAAAAAGATTTTCAATATTAGAAATATTATCTAAACTTTCTTGATCGGAATTAATACTATTTAATATTTCATCACTATTATTTTTATCATCAAGTATTAATGAATTATATAATTGAAGAGAAATAGATGTCATATCTAATATATTCTCGGTTAAAATTTTTGCATGTTTAAATGCTTGATGAATTACAGTTTTAATTTCTTCATTTGTGGGCCATCGCCACAAATTATCAATATGCTTATAAATATTATCATTCTGATAATAAAAAAAATAACCTATAAAATACAAATTGTTAATAAACGATATATAGCATATAATATTTAACATCAATAAATTATATCTGTTGCTGAAGTTTTTTCTTTAAAAACTAAAATTGATTCAGAGGTATATGCTTTATAAAGATATGATATTTTAGAAACTAAAGCAATAAGATCATTAAATGAAAAATCTGATAATAATTGACATGCTAATCCAAAAAAATGTTTGCAGCCTTCAGAACCATACATCCACGATACAAATGGATATGTTGGATAAAAATCACAATATGCAATAACAAGTAGTATCTAAAAAGAATTGAGTTAATATAAAACCTTTAAATTACTATGCTTTTCAAATTACTGTGATCATGTATCACGTATTATAAGAGAATCCAAAAACTGGGAATTTTAAAAATACAAATCTATAATTAGCTAACTAAATCTCTATTAAAAGTTTACCATTGATTCTATAAGATTTGTTAAAATATTAAATGTTTTACTCGCTAAAAAATTTTTTTGTAAACTTATAAAATCAAAACTTGTATTTGCGTGTACTTGTATATGATGTTTCCAATTGTATAAAAAAAAGTAACCAAGTATAACCATATAACATCGATCTAATGGTTTTATTTCTCGATTTTGAAATGCATCTATAAGTTTACCTATTTATTAAAAAATTACTATATATCATTATTAAATTTAAATTTATAATTTAGATTAAAAAATATATATTAATATAATTACCAAATATATAAAAATAAATAAAAAAACCTAGTTTATCTTTATTAACAGAAAAATTTTGATCAGAAACTTGTTTAAGTAATGATGAACAAAATAGCCAATATGCAGCACTATCATCTTGGCAGTCAACATTTTCAACATCTCATTTATATAATATGCTATTAGGACTTTGACTCAATTCTAATATATGATCATAACGTACGTAGTATGACCAAATGTTAACAATCATGGACTAGAAAAAAATGCATTTAGTGCATCTGTTTTAGCATGAAGTGGATCAGAAATACTTATTACAGGACTGACATTTTCAATAATTGAACAACTAAATTTAATATCTACAAAATTAAAAATTAATATATATATATAATAATAATTTAAATATATGTATAATTTAATTAATTCTTACTATATAAGTTATCCTGAAACTCAAGTTTATGTAATGTTGAAATTTTCATTATTTTTTTTTGCGCATTAAACTCTGGAGAAGCACTGTCAACACCAAATGCCAAAATTGGAAGTTCTAATTGAGCAGCCATTTTAAACAAATCTTGATGCATCTTAAAAATATCTTCCACATTTTCTTTACCGCAGTTTGGAATTAATGTGATTACTGATGGTGGAAATTTTGATATAGGAATCTAAAATTAATTAAAATGTATATATTATATATATTTATATATTTTACTAAATATAAAATTTAAAATTTAAAATATATAATAAATTGGAGGCTTCAAAATTAACTTATTTTGAAAATAAGTAGAAATTTAAAAAATTCTATTTTTCTGTTTCAAAATTTTGAATTAGAAAATTAATAGGTAAAACCAGTGATAAAATTGGCTTCTTTGATAAGTAAATAAGTATATGCTTTAAAAAATCAAATTTATATATTGCTTATTTTGAACACTTATTTTATTTAAAATCAAATATCAAATCATTAATTCTAAAACCCCTAAGTTCATAACCTTACTTGCAATAAATATACTCTAACTTGTAAAGCAATTGCATTTTCTGATTTAATTTTATTAATTATTGTATAGATATCATTATGACTTTGTACATGGGTTTGTAAAGCTAAAAGTGTTGAACCAACAATACATCCAAGAAGAGACAAATATCCAAGCTGTTCTTTAAGTTTTGTATTATTTGTCATCACTATTAATAGTCCTTTATATTGAAGTGTATCTACTAATCGCTTAACTCATACAATATTTTCATAACAAAGGCTAATATCATGAAGTGCATATTCAGAATGTGATCTTTGCAATCTAAATATAAAAATATCAATTATAAAATAATTTAAAATTTTAATATTAAATACTATAGTGGTTTGCAAAAAGGTCCTTGTGATTTCTGTGATGATGATAGTAGGAATCTCAGAAATTCTAAAATTGTCTATCAACTATATATTTAATTAGTAATATATTTATTTTTGAAATTTGTAAAATTCTTTTAGAATCGAAAAATCATTTGATTCTCTGATTTATCATAATATGCGAGGTCACATCTTTTTGCAAACCATAATAATTTGTTTAGTATATTAAATTTTTATAATTTATATACCTAATATTTTGAATTATTCTTCCAGCCAAATTTTGTCAAAAAAGATTGTATGCTCGTGGACTTAAAGATGTAAAAATTGATATAAAATCAGAAAATTTTTCAGAATATATTAAATTTTGTAATCTTTTCCTGCTTTATATTGTTTTGTTATTTCAACCATAACTTCACACAGGTCTTCAAAAGCTCTTTTTTTATTAAAAGTGCCATGCTCACCCATTTCAGCAAGTGTTTTCCAAAATGAAACAGAATGATTATTATCAGATTTTGTAAGTCTTGAAAGTGTAACAATATCAGGATTAGAAAGATAATTGCTAAGTGGATGCGAGCTAAGATGAGATTTAGGTGTAAATTTTTTATTTTCTTTAATGGCTGGTCTCTTATTTTTTTTTTTTTTTTTGATATTAAACTAGTCTCTTTTGGGCCTAGGGTTTTATTTAGTAAATTGGACATAGAGACTTGTGGCTGAAGCCTCAAAGAAGTCACCTTGCATTAGAGAGTACAACTAGCCATATGTACACTTTTGGTGTCTAATTTAAGTAGTTTGCCAATAGTTCTACACTAGCTGCCATACCTGCAACCCAACTAGAGGCATTGTCTATTTAAACCCTCTGTGCTGCAATCCTTACTGTGTCACTAAATCATCTCCGATACAGCTGTCAGTCAAGAAGGTCTAGATACTTTTACCTATTTCCCTTAGGACCCCATACCTTATTT